AGGGCCCTCCTCGTGGTGGCTCGGGACGAGGCTGGAGGAGCCCCGCTGGCACAAAGCAGGGGCCTGGAAGGTGAGGGGGCTTGTCCTAGCAGAGCCGCGACTGGCCGGGGCCGGGTGTGGAGGAGGTGGTGGGCCCAGAAAGAAACTAGAAATCTCCCTTCAGAAGAGAAGCTGCTGGGAACACAACACCTAATTTCTTGAGACAACTAAAAAGCAAAGGGAGTGAGGCTCCCAGGTTCAAAAGAAGGGACCCAGAAGGGAGGCCCAGCAGAGCACACTGGCCAGCGCCTGTTGTCTCCCAGACCCCTGCGAAACTGCCCAGAGAGGGGAGCAGAGTGGCAGGAAAATAGCCCAATGCTTTCCTGGCTCCCCCCAGCCAGAGCCTCCTTCCTGGTCTGGGCCGGTGACCAGCTTGGTCTGAGCCAGGAACAGGTTGAGCAGGAGGTCCCAAGTCTTGGGTGAGGCCACAGCCAGGGAGTGTATAGAAGAGACAGGATCAGAAGCAGAAAACAGGTCTCCTATTGCCATGCCCCATCCTCCTGGACCTTGAGGTCCCATCACATTTGCTGATGGCGCAGTAGAAGAAAAGCCCTAATACATACTCTTCTGGCAACTACCACTCAGCATGTGGGAATGAGGAGGTCCTGTAAGAGAGTGCAGATGCATGGAGACTAGTACCAGTTAATCAATCCTTCCAAAAGCTGGAGCCCAATGAGGTTCTATGCCCCAAGGTAGACTATTTTCTGACAATATGGCCCCCAGGTCCCAGTCAGGACCAGGTGCAGCGTATGTGGTAAGAAAGACACTGTGGCAGTGTACAGGCCTCAAAGCATGTTACAACCATCCATTTATTTTCCTGTCCCTTAGGAAGTAGGTAAGGGGTATAACAATTCTGGAGTTACTCAGGGTCTAGCCATTAATATACAAGAGACAGGGATTTTGGAGGGTGCTGTCTTCTATTGGGCCAACTACGTAGCTCGGATAAAGTTAGACACACTTCTGAATACAAAGTGCTCCTGGTCAGGTCCTGACAAAGAAGGTCTTGCATTCAAAAGCTTCTCTAACTTGATTCCAACTACACAGTGGGTACAATGAAAGGTACCACAGTCCTAAAAAATACCTGCTGCATGCATAATTTCTGGACCATCACAGCTAAAGCATCACTCTTACACTACCAATTAGTACACAGCATGCTGTTTCCACAGCAGCTTTTCACGTTGACAACAGCAACAGAATTCATCCTCCTAAACACCAAGCTAAAGGAGAAGTTGCATTTTTTTATTACCAGCCCAGAATCTGTAACACCCAGCTGACCCATTCCAATTCCACCTGGAACAGGGTGGTGGTAACAAGCATGGCAGACTAGCCAAGTTATTACATTTTGATGAATAGAAGGAGAAAAAAAGGTTATACCACAGGGAAGAGGCTAAGATTACAGTAGAGTTTCCAGCTTCTATTCCAGTGATCATTTCTCTAGAGACCACACAGCACCTACAACTGCCCTGGCTGGGCTAGTAATGCTCAATATCTCATACATATGGGTCACATTTGTATTTAAAAGTCTTTTTTATATATATATCCCCTTTTGAGGGGAATATCCCACACTATGACAATGATGCCAATCAAGAGTCCCAAGGATGTGAAGGATCAAGAAGGCTTTTTGGAGGCTTCCCTGACATCACTGTACTCTTGTACATCTCTGGTCCATGATGGACACTGTACTCTTGTCCATCAAAGAGACAGACAAGAGGTAGACTACACTAGCAAAGGTTCCAGTTGAATGATTAATGGGAGGAACACTGGCCCGTCTACTTCTGAAGCAGTCAAACTACGCAGCCAAGTGCAGAGCTTGCTTTTGGATCTAGATGGAATATTACATGCCACAACTTCTGGTTGCCAAAGATATACCCGTCTTCAGTTATGCACATCAGGAATCCATGGGCCATTTTTTGGGCACCCTTACCTGTACCCATGTCAAGGAGACTGACTGAAAGAAACTATGCAGCTCACTTGAAAAGAGACTAGGCATCTCTCACTTGAAATGCTGCATACAGATCTAGGCAACAAAGGGCATGATGATCTATTCTGACCCACTGAAAAATACAGGGTATAGAATTTCATCTAGAAATTCCTGTACAAAACCCAGGAGTTTGTGCTTTCTGACTCATTAAACAGGGCATAAATCTTGTCAACATTTTAAAGAGTGAACACACAACCAAGGCTTTTTCTTCTGAATTTTTTATTACACAGAACATAGAATGTACTTGAATGGATTTTTATTCCAAGCAGTTGTTTTTTTCTCCAGTGTTTTTACATGCATTGTTACCCTTTGTAAAGCCAATGTGCCATCTGCTTCTCCTCGCCTTCCCTGCCCACATGGCATCTAGATTCATGTTATTCTCAGTGTAAAAAAAATTAGATATCTGGCATAAAATATTTTGGGGGGAGCCCATTTAAAAATTTCATTTAAAATGTTTTATCTACAAAAATCCAATATATATGTACATTACAGCAACATAGAGGCATAGGAACACAGTGCAATTTAAGACTACGAGCTATGACATGGTGGTAATTCTGACCAGGGGCTGTGGAAAAAAGTGGGCCACCATTAGCTTTGGGGCTATTTGCCTAAAGCCTCAGGCTCCATGGAAGTTATTTGGGTCTCTCTCAAACCTTTCTTAGCCAGTGATACCAACCAACTGGAGATGCATTTAGCTTAATACACCCCCACTAACGGATTACAGAAATACTGGCTGAACAGGGTGAGATTTGGCAAAACAGTTGATGTGGCAAAACAGTGTTTGTATGGAAAAGTAAGCATTTAATTTGACCCAGAGTTTCTCAGTATCTGTGTCAACCCCTGCCACATTGTTCAAAATGAAACACCTGGCTGTCCCTGGTGAGGAAATGAAGTTACCAGTTGCCACAGCTTCCCAAATACTACATGTCAACCTTCTCTGCCTTCTAATAATTCTTCCTGTCTTCCAGCAGTACAGGGACTAATCGCCCACCCTTGCCAAGCAGAATTGCAGATGCAGAGTACTGCAGTGACTGCTTTTGGCCCTTGTGTATGGATGCCTCTTCTGTTTACTAAACAAACCTTGCTGACAACCATGGCTGCATAGAGTGAGCCTGACCTTCCCACCCCCAAGAAAACAGCATTACATATTGCTTAATTAAGATAATATCTGCAGGTTAAAAGTCATGTATTCTTTAAGGTCAGTTTAATATTAATGCTTCATACCAAAAAGAATCACAGTTTAAGGCCTTTTTATAAATGTGTACTGTACAGTGCAGTCATCCCTCTACTGCCCAGCCCTTTTCTGGGACACAGATGAAACAAAACAGCTCTAACCCCAGGACAAATCACTTTTTTTTTTTTTTTTTAAATAAAGAAATGAGATGTAGTATGTCCCTCATACAGATGCTATTCACATAAGCCAGACCAACAGACAAAGCCTTGAACAGGAACAGAGCTTGCAAGACTGGGTTCCTGTAGGCGTACAAGCCACCAGGTACCTCACAGGTTAAGATAGTTGGGGTGGGGGTAGGGAATGTAAAACAGAAAACACCTGACTGGTTTTCTCATCACATGGTGGTCCATTTGTGGTTCCAGCTCTAGTACAGAGACAGCTACCGCTTCACCTGAGAAGGGGTTTTATGGGTGATGTACTGCTAAGCCCAATACTTAAAATGAAACAAAACTTAGTCTTCTATGCAGAGATGAAACATCTGGACTGTATAGGCCCAGCATGCCATTCCGTCACAAGATGTGCTCACCTATCCTGAAGGGGGTAGACAGAGGGAAGGGAGCACTTTTGTTTGGCTGGAACTGCAGGTGGTCTGGAGCAGGAAATGTTTTAATAAAGCATCCCTTTGAGCAGTGACAGCTGCACTCCTACCATCAAGAGCCTTGCTCCAATGCCTGTGGAAAAGCCTTCTGCAGAGTAGAAAATGAGTGATGGTAAGATCCATGCTTCCCTTTTTACTCATTGTTACCTGCTGTACCAAGCAGCCAGATTTTCCCTCATCTGAACACTAGGCTGCATTATTACTCTCAATGAAACTTTTTTTTCCCTTGCCTGATCTCTGGATGGAGATGCAATTATAAAAGCAGTATGGGTAGTATTTCTCCTTTTTAGGCAGAGAAGAGGCAAGAGAAGGATGGTAGTTTCCTTCCAGCAAAAAGATTTGCCCTGCCTTCCCTTGATAACTGACCACACAAGCAACAAGGAAGTGTGCAGAAAGTGCTTTTGCCTCTACAGGGTGTTTTGTCAAACCACAAGCCCTGAGCCATGAGCTCTGGCTCAAGCAAAGCATGTTCAAAATCCACAGGGGGCTAGAAGAGGCCTCTAAAGATGCTCCTTAAGGAGGAAGAAACGTGCACATATTAGTGATAAAGAAACCAAAATTGTATTAAAATGGCACGTGTGTGCAGAGATCTTTTAGAAGTGCCTAAGTCTTGTAGAAAGAACTAAATTCCCTGGTATTTTGATAGCCAAAGGAACTTAATTGCCTTTTTTGATTTTTTTTTATGAATCTCACCATTTCTTAAATGTACAAGACGACTCACGATTGGAGAAGGCCAGTTCCTAGCAGCAGCAGACCATGTCCTGCACTAGCAGACAGCTGTTTTCTTTTGTTTAAAGCCAAGTGAGAGATGCAAGAGATCTATATTTTAGTAAAAGCTCAAGGGAACATCAGCACTGGCACCGTATGCTATTTTAAAAGCCTTTGGCAAGCTCAGGAAAGCAACTTTCTTTTTCTCCTTCCCTCCTCTGTTAATTATCCAGATAGAGGTATTATTTCATACATGCATCTAAATTTAGTGACTAGTATAGAACAAGCCCCTCTGCATAAGGTCAACCCTCACCTGGTGGGTTTTGTACATCTTTTTATATGGGCAGTGGGGGGAGGGGGATGGAAATCCTTTTCAACTACACCTGGCCAAAAAATTGGCAAGGCTCTCCTAAAGCAGCATTTCCCCTTTGTGGTAACGCATTAAGACAGCTTCTATCATTTACTTCTCTTGTAAGGTGTTGTTGCCAGCAAAAAAAAAAAAAAAAAAGGATGAATTTTACATTTGATGAAATCCAGAATTGAACAGGATCTTAGGAATGCATACAGTATTTAATGCAACAGCATGCCATGGCATAAAAGAAGTTATAGGCTCAAATTCAAAATGTCCACAGGTCACCCCAAGAATGTGCTGATAGAACCCCACTGGATACCAGCAAGGATTTCATTTTTTAAAGAGCAGAAAATCTATTTAGAAATGCTGTAAAAAACTTGATTGAATCAATTATTAGAATTCTCAAGGGTGGGTCCAAATAGGTACACAGAAAAAGAAAGATTCAATCAATATCTTTAGACTATAATAAGCCTTGTACAATTGAGCATATCAATTTTAAAAGGTTCAATTATCTTGATCACACACAGTAAAGTACAAATTTACTGTAGGCTGAAGAAACCTCAAATCCCAGCTTCCTTCTGATCCATACCCTGTGCTTTTGGACCTTAAAGGTGTCACTTGAGCAGAAATGAATGTTCTCATGTCTGGAGCTGAAATCAGGGAAGACTCATTCAGACACCTGCCACATTTAGGAAGAGAAAAACAAAAGAAAAAGAAAAAAAATAACAGTTCTTATAAGAAGACTTAAAAAGAGGCAGGGATAGCAAATACAATTGAACTACTTCAATTGTATTTGAACTTGTAACATTCCAGACTGTGGGTCTGGAATGTTATAAGTAGCTCTGCTTGAAAAGGCTTAATGGGCAGAGTGCAGGTGAAGGGGATCAAAATGGCAAAATAAACTCACATAATTCCATGATCATGTTGTTCATGCCACAGCTGAAGAGAGAATTATTCCATAACTGTCATGACCACAGATGTGGAGCACAGACCTATTTGGTCATGTGTTGTGTTTATATGATCACTTCTAGCCAATAAAAAAAATCCATCTCCAGTGGACTAGATACACTAGAAAATAGTTACCTTTGAATATTTGAAAACCTTCATAATTTCAAATGTACATTTTTCTCATTTAAAGTAAATCAGCTGGAATGATTGTTTTGGGGTTTCTTGAGAACCTGCTTCTGAGTAATGCAGAACGGGCCACGATCCATAAACATCTGAAAATGGGGGTCTTATGAAACACAAGCTGATACTACTTTCATCCACAGCATTGTATCAGAAGTGACAGTTGAGTCGCTACAGTCAATGCTGAAAGTGTTCTCTTTGCAGCACCAGAAATCCAAGTTGTGTTCTGCTTTGGTTAGAAAAAAAAAAAAAAAAGACTCTCATATCAAAGGGTCACTGCCCTTTGCACAAAGTATAACAACTCACCCACATTTAAAAGTGAAATCCCTCCCAATCTGTATTTTGTACTTCTAAATCCTGTTAAGTGTTTTAAGATGATCTTAGCTAAAAGTGATCTTAGAAAATATGCTGCAAGTCCCAGGCAACCAAATATGAACACTGCCAGAGTTAATCTTATGCTGTGCACTTATTTTTGGTGCCTTTTCAAGGATGCCTCAGGTCCATCACAAGAACTCCAAATGTAAAACCTACAATGAATTCAGGTAACTAAAACATTATGGTAGGTAATGAACAGGGCAGTCTAGATCTTCAAAGTAAAGAAGCCAAACACAGATCATTTGCTGCACTAATCTGAGTGATTCTGTAGCCTTTGGATGGAAGAAGAGTTTCAGAATGAATACAGTTGCATATACTGTACCCTCCAGAGACCTGCACACTCACATGGGCACCATCAGAAATGTTTCATTTGCCTGATGAAAAGCGATCTATGTTTTAGGATCCAGGCATCTACATCTTCTGCATAAAAGGTCTGTCAGAACTAAGCCTTCAATAGACAGATCTCATCGATATGATGGAAGCAGCACAAAGACATCAAAGCAAGGAGGAACAGGACAGTTACTCTGAATAAAAGCATCTCTTACAGGCAATTTATCATACTCTTATCAAGGGGATTTAGTCCCGATAGGAAATGGAAGCTTTGATATTTGAAGGGGGGAATGAGAGAGGGGCTTGTTTATTAGAATTTGAGATTGTAACCTTTATACCCATCATTTTTTCTCCATTCTGAGCTAAATTTGCTTGAACATAAGGATATGATAAACCAGGTTTTGGAAATGGACATGGGAAAGACCCATCCTATGCAAGGAAGATCCTCTACCACTCTCCCTACTGAGAACAGCTGGTATTGAAACAAAGAAACAGGAGTGTGGGACAGGGCTTAAGTCCTGGGAGGCATTCTGCTTACGGCTTATGGAAGTAGACAACATATTGAAACAATGGTCCTGTCAGTGACATGTTAGCAACACTTTAAAAATAAACAAACACACACCCCCCCCCAGAAATGCTAAGTTCAAGTTTTAAACATTGGTAAATGTAAAAGGAAAAAAAAAGCTTTGGTTGATTATCCGCCCTGTTAAACGCATTTTTAAAAGTTAACAATCAACAGTTCCTCTAGGAGGTCTCTGCTGAGCAAACTGACTGGCCCATCACCCACTGGGAAGGTTAGATGCCTAGTAGCAAAAACAGAAGTGTGGCCACCACAGCGCTGTGCCACAGACGCTGGAGACATGTCAGCTGGCAGTCCAGAGGCTCATGGCATATACAAAGAGTCTGTGCCAGCCGCCAACTGCCAACAAGGGTCACTGCGATTTCACTGTGACAAATAAATTAAAAAAAAGCAACAAGAAAAAAAAAAAATGAAGCCAAGCACCTCTAGGGCCAGTCCCTGAAGAGACAGGAATCAAAGCTGTTGGTTTTTTTTCCTCTCTCTCTCTCTCTCTCTTTTTTTTTTTTTTTTTACTATTTACAAAATACCATTTAGAGCTGATGTGGCCACTTCAGTATTGTGAGGAAACATCCTTTTTAGCCTAAGCAGTCATAAATGTGTAGTTCAAGGACTGTGGCACATTTGTGGCCGGGGGGGGCAGGGGGGTCCCTTCCCCAAGGCACATGGAGGGAATTCAGTCTTCTGTTTCTTCATAAGTAGTCTCATCAAATGGCCGGTCCAAGAGAGGCACCAGTCGGTGACGGGAATATTTCAGTTGCAAGAGGTCGCCAACTTCATTTATTTCCTTTAAAGCCTGAGAGAAGAGAGAGACCATGACATGAGCAAAAGAGATTTGTGACTCAAAACACCGCTAACAACATATCAACTTTCCTTTCCAACTCCCCAACATATCCCAAGGCAACAACACTACAGTCAAAGTGATCCTTTAGTTTTTCTGAGCAAGATGTTCATGCTAAAACTCCTAGCTGTTTAGTCATGTGACAGAGGTTTGTGGCAGAGGTATGGAGGCCTCCAAAACATTCTCTCTGAAGAGATCAAGCCTCAGACAAAGTGGTGTTGCTTAAAGGGGAACTGGATGGCAAGGGACATTGCTAATGAGCTACAAAGCCTTTCACCTCTAGGTTACCAGTCCAAAGCCTCACTAGCTCAGCAGGGATCATATATGTTTACTAGACCCTACATAAGAGGAGTATGGCAAGTCCCAGTTTCATGCTTTGCATTAAATGGGGGTGGTGGGGGGGGGTATGTTTCTTTAGGGCAGAAGTCATCTCAAGTGTTTGCATACTGCCAAGCCCCGATCTCAAATGGATTCTGTACCGAGTAATCCTGCAGTGGTCCAGATCACTTTACACACCCTAAGTTTCTAAAACTTTGCAATGCTAGTTCTCAAATATTGGCAGGAGGTAAGGAAGAGCTCAGAAGGTAGACCAAAAACTTAATTAAATATTTGTCCCCAAAATCATGGCTTCTTAATCTTGTGATAAGAGTCCAACAATTTCTGAAGTTGTAGGGTTGACATTATGCACTTGTTTCTGCATGAATCTTTAGACTTTGTTTTTTAAACAATGCACCCACCATTCTTCATACAGTCCATTAACTCATTCTGTAAGATGAATTTTCAACTAGTAAAATGTTCTGGTCCAAATGACCTGCTCTTGAGAATGGTTCTAGCATAATGGTTAATACTCTTACATGCTTTTCCTCCCTGGGTGAATAGTTCAAGTTTTCATTTCTTTCAAAAATGGCCCCTTATGCTTGTTATACCTGGCAGCAAAAGTCTCTCCACTCCAAAATCAGGGGGAAGCAAGAAGCCTAGAAGAAGCTGGACTTCACTGGAAGAGTAGGCATGTTTTACAGGGCTTTAAGTGAAGGCTCCATATGGAAACAATTTAAGGTTGAATTTCTGTGGCAAGAGTCCGTTAACTGTTATTCTTGAACTCAGATTTAGGATTTTATTAATTTAAAACAAAAAGAACCATGTGACTAGCTAAGACTACAAAGGAAATGGCATCGATGAACTCTGACTTCAGGAAAGTGTAATATATTTTTCATCTCAGAAAAAAAAGCACCAGCCCACAGGGATGCAGGTTATGAGGGATTTCACTCTGATTCCAAGCCAAATAGTTTTGGAGGCAAGGAAGTTTTATTTACATAAAACAGTTAAAAACTGTAACAGAGAACTGCTGCCCATCATGTGGGTTTATTTAAAAAGAACAAGGAAGCATTGCACATATCACCATTTATATGTAAAGCCTCCCTCCCCCACACTCCATCACTGGGTGAAATGCGTTTAAGGAAGTGCCAGGATAATAGCACTAGCTAGGGCCAGGCATCTATGGGTAGGCTGTCCAATTCCTCTTTCTAGCCTTGGCTCTGACAACCTCTCTCTTACCCTATCAGAATTTCAATTTTTCCTGGACACTTTTCCAGTGCTTCAGAGGTGGTCAGATATGATGGCCAGACATAACTACTGTTGGCTATGGGAAACCAAACCCCCTTATTACCTCAGGAAAGCCACAACAAGGGTTTGTCTACACAGGGAGTTATTCCTGATTATCTCCATGTGTTGATGCTCTTATATTCCAGAATCAGTAGAAGTATTTGGCATTCCAAAGCAGATTACACTCATTTTGAATGAGAGCTTGCACATATGAAGTTAATCAGGAATGGTTAATTATCTTTAAATTCACACCCTACCTGAAGCCAGATTAATCTTCAGATATAGACAAGCCCTAAAACTAAATCACTTCATTTGGTAAAGGAAGTACTTCTGAAGTATAGTTCAGAGCACATCTGAAAAAGATGGTGACTACCAGGAAGGTACAGGAAAGACCTGTTTACTACAGAACCTAGAAAAAGTAAGTTTTCTTGTGAGTGCAAGGGTACAGTACCACTTGACAAAATAAGTAACCAGTTTTCACCCCAGCATCCTTCCTAAGTCAGTGGTGCTCAACCTACAGGCTGGACCGAGCCCCCAAAGTCACTAGATCTGGCCCATGGCATGGGCGGGAGAGGGGGGTGTGGAATCAGCAGCTCAGCCCAGTGTCCCCTTTACTACCCTGTGCCATACCACTGATTCCCTCCACAGTTCTCCCTGCCCTCTCCCTCCCCTTATGGCAGACACTGCTTATTTTTTCCTTCCCTTTCTCCCTCCTTATTCTCCTAAGCCAGGCTTGTTCAACATATGGCCAGTGGGCCACCATGCGACCCACCAAGCCGTTTTCTGAGGCCCGAGGTGCTGCGACGGGAAATGAAAGTAAACACTGTTTACTTTCGTTCCCACCCCTTGTCCCTCCCCCAGCCCCTCAGTAGACTCCTAATGGCTGCTGAAGGGCTTGGGAACGAACAAGGTTCCCACATGCACCGCGTCAGCTTGACGTGGCCAACGCGGTGCGTGTGGGAAGAGGAGTAGCCGTGTGCTGCTCGGGACAGGATGAGCCCAACCGGAGCAGCAGGGACTCAGCTGCACTTTCCCCCTATCTGCGCTGGTCAGTCCCAAGCGGCACACGGCTCCACCGCTGCCTCTGTTGGCTGGTGCCGACCCGGGTAGGTCTGTCCCATTTAGAGCAGCATGTAGCTGAAGCCAGATTCCCATGTGCTGCTGGGGACAGGAGGAGCCCGGCCAGGTCAGCACCAGCCAGCAGAAGTGGTGGCAGAGGCA